CAATACAATAACAGTGTAACATGGGTCGCACGCAGAGTACCACTAAATAAGAAGTAGCAAAGGGAGCCGAAGGAACATTTCCTTCTACAAAAGTCATACTGTGGCTTCTTTATGTGTGAACTATCTTTTTCTTAGATTGTTTCAATTCCCTGATGCCCCAAGCAGCTGACCCCGTTTTGCTCAATCAAGGGACGAAATTAACTCGTATGAAGTCTGCTCGTTGGCTTTAAAATGTAGGGAATGTCCGTTGGAAAACTTTTCTTTGTGCAGCTTTGTTTCTTAACAACACAGTTGCAGTGACTCTTGGTGGCCCTGAATGGATGTGCCTGACGGAGTTACCCTGTGGAGCCTGACAGGTTGGAGTTTCAGGTGACGTTGCGCCAATCTGAGCGCAGTGCGCGTGCCCGTTTTCTTTCTCCAAAGCTCCCTAGCCTGAAATCAAGCTTTTTCTAAACTAGTTGGAATAATTGGAGCTCGTGAGCTGGCTTTCAAAGAGCCCTGGTCTCTCACTTTTCACCAGCGATCACCATACTCTGGTATTATTGAAGTCGAGCCACCTTAATAGTTGTATATATGTTCTGCATTCAATTCACTAGCCTCCTCCATATTCTAATATCTCTAAAAGGAGTCCGAAAACAGATATAAAATAACTCGAAAAAGTTATGCGAGGCTTTGCTGCAAAATGTTACTCGTGGTCAAGGATAAATTACGCTCCATTGAAGCCGGCTCTTCAAGATGCCATTTTTGCTTACCTGCCTACAACTGCAGTTCAGTACTCAACAGCTCTCGTCCGCCGATAGGATTCGTTAGCTGCACGTGCCTTCTTGTTTAGAACCCCGCAACTGACTCGCAGGCAACTGTGGAGTTATGGGAGAGCTCAAGCTCTGCTTCCCCGCCATGACACGAAAGCCGCGCTCCTTCTATCTCAATGCGCACAACCTTATTATCACTACTTTGAGCAATTAACCTAGCGTCGGCACTCTTGGAGTGCCGGTGGTACATTCGGGGTCATTTTTCGTGTGCGGTGGCAGTAGCTCTTTGAATTGGCGGCAAGACGCTGTTTCACTGGGGCAATGCACAGCAGCGTGGGACACGGCCTGCTGGAAGAAACAAGAGCAGCGATGTGGGCACGCATCAGGGCAAGCTGGCATTGACAGAAAAATTAATCGGTTACGGCGGATTCAGCTAGAGATGCTCATAGCTTACTGAAGTCACGTTTCGTCAAAAAGTGCCCCTATCCTTGGACGCCTTTCATGGCTTCGTCTTTGTTGCTCAGCCAAGTCTGCTCGCTGTTGCTGTGGAAGCCTTCCGAGCTGCAGAGCGGCTATGAACGGCGCTGCATCCAAAGCGATTCGTCCAGAGAGTAGTGTCGATGCGAGATTTTAAGAAGTGGTTCACGTGTTTGTGGCAGTGCCCACTTACTAGAGGCTCGCTACCATCATGCCCTCGTGCCGTCAGCCGGCACCCGAGTCCTGCCCAAGTTGGCTGCTCCGAGAGCGTTCTTCGTGACACGAAAGTCACGCTCCCTCTATCTCGATGACAGTGCGCACAACCTAATTCTCACTATTTTGCACAACTAACCTAGCGTCGGCACTCTTGGAGTGTCGACGGTACATCAAATTACGTGATAAACCGCAGTGTAGAGCCTCAAGTTTGCGCATGTACGTCGAGGCCGAAGCCGATGCAGTCCACGAATTTCAAAGCAAACATTCGACGTGCTCACCTTCTTATGGAAGCGGGGCCTGTTGAGATTTCCTGCAGTGCCTTTGCCCATGATGTGCAGCCGACAAAGAAGTGGCCAGGCTCCCCATTCGCCCCGCCATGACACACTATACTTTCTAGGAATCGATGTAAGCTGCCATGTGCAGATGAGCGATAGTTTGCTTACACTCCATCGTCATTCAGCGCTTGTTTGAGTGGTGGCTTTGGCGAAAGCAATTTCTCCACGCATTTCATCAATTTCCCTTCATTTGCTCATGAGGCCCACTCTATCTGAGCTGACCGGCACGTTGTTGTGTAGACGAGTCAATTTCGCAAGTGGAGGAAGGCCACCCTATCTCCTCACAGCCTTTATTAAACCCACAGGCTGTATGACTAAGTGTGCGTACTGAGACCACTGCTTGAACGTGTCATGAGAATGCACCAATGATTGCGCGGATTCAGCTGCTGCTGCGCTGTGGGCACATGATTACACGCCTCTAAAAGTGCGCTTCGCTATTTGCTCCTGTTCGGAACGCCAGCCAACTGCGGCTCCTCCCTTTTGTTAACAGGCTGTCCAACAGGCCTTAGTGGATGCAATGTAGAGAAGAAACGTTGTCTGAAGTCTGAAGGACTTTCTTTGCACTACGCCATGAAGGCACACGCTAGAGTGGGCATCACGGCCTCGATAAGTTGAAAAGCGCGAATGGTGGTTGTGGCATTGAGCATTGGGTGCGCCTTCGCTCCACAAATGCTCAATCTTCATACAGTTTTCATCTGAAGTTGAGACAAGCTCATATTTTGCATTCGCATTTCTTCCTTGTGACACCTCAAAGTTTTGTTACTGATACCAATGTGCTACAAAATGACATTTTCGCTCTAAGAAAGTGACCAATTTATCAGTTTCCAGACAGCAGCGATATCTGCTGGGTAGCTTTTCCAGTTAGTCAAAGGTGCGCCATTCATTAATTCACTGTATTAAGAAGTCATAAGATTATTGATTGAAGTAGAAACATACAGCTTAGGTGAATGCAGGAAGAGCGAAAAAGAAGCAGCTGATGATGAACCAATATTGAAAAGATTTTGAAGCAAACGCATACAAATCTGAAGCCCTGCATAAAAAGGAACTCCATACTCTACAGAAACGCTTAAAATGCGAGGTCGATATCGGAAGCAACAAACATGGGTTGTGGGTTGAGACTTGCTAATTAAAGTGCACCAGCTCCTTGCTATAGACAATGCATTTTGTAGAGAGACGAGATCTTGTTGGCAGTTGCATACCATGATTTGCACTTATAAGCCCCTACGTCCTGCAGGTTGAAAGCATCTACTTGAGCCAATCATGGAGGAAAACAACTAAGAATGGGTCAAGTTACCGGTGTTCGTTATACACAGTAGTACAAGGAAGAGCGGCGCATTGCGCTATTCGCGTAGTCCTCAGCATCCACGCTATTCTCAGAGCCACGAATTTATTCTACCACATTCTTTTGTGTTCTTTATTGAAGAGAAGTTGATACCCTTGGAGACTCGACGCAGCGGACGATATGGCCAGGTTCACAAACAGCAATTTTATTGCATCTTTAGAGGCATTAGGGTGCACAAAGGATACCCTTGAGACCCGCAAGTTTTACCAACGAGTACCTTATTTCCAGGCAGCCTGATGTCAATATTTTTCTTCATGAGGTTGTTACGGAGCAAGCTGGTAAATACCTACGTGAGGGACACCATTCATTTAAAATCATTGGCGAAAAGCAGCGACAGGTTTATAGCAAAAAGCGAGGCATTAAGCTAGCTAGCCCATGCCCACTAGACGCTCACGGAGGACCCTTCTTCACTCTAGTCCTCCTTGTTTCACCGCAGTATGTTCTACTGGCTCCCAGAAGTATGCACTGAAATTCGTTACGCGCAAGCGCACTCCAAAGGTCACGCTTTTACCGGTAACAGGGATTACCGCAAGTTTGTGGACACATGGTGTGTCCAAAAACTTGCAGTAATCCCTGCTACGAGGAAACCGCCGCAATGCCAGATCACTCAGTAAGCTGTTACGCATTTCGCAGAATATTTCGTGCCCAAAGAGTATCGATAATGGTGCGCAGGAAGATATCACAGGGAGTTGTGCTGGATGCTGGGTTACCTGGCAAAGTGCAGGGAGAGCGAAAAACGGACATTGCACAGATTCGTATGCTCTTCAGTGCATTTTACGAGTGTCCTGACAAAATCAAGGAGATCAAATATGTTAATAAAGGCGAGAAGTAGTATCAATGCTTACGCTTCACAGGCAACTAAGCTCGAATAGGATCCTGTGGGCTGTCAGGCAAATTCAGTGAGAGAATCGCCAGAGCCAAATACGTGCGAAGATTTCCCTTCAAAGTACACATGCGTTCGACATGGTAAAACCCATCTTCTAATCTCTACTTTGAATTTAAACACTGATTTCATTCCTGTGTTACCAGAATAACCATTCTCGGACCATTCGCAACTGCTGCAACTATCGTCAAGAGCTGGAGGGCCTCACATGGCGCCTTCCCTGATGAGTACAGCGTTCATGCAAGGTTTATTATATCGGTGCTTTTCTTTGCCGGTTCTTTGCTGCATGTGACTCCACTGAGAAGTTTGCCCTTGTTTATTGCGTAAACTAGAACAGTGGGCCATTGCAGCCCCAACTTTCGCTCGACATGGCGGAGACGCTGTACATCTCTAGCCAGAGAGGAAGCGCGACGCCTTGGTAAAGGCTGCCTTGATGTTCCACTATCTTCTTGGCCATGAGAAGAGCGGAAACGCAAGTTCCCGATAAATCAAGTCCCTCGTGGGACGAGTGCCTCGTCTTACGAGGCACTTCATTGCCAGCCCAAAACGGCGCAGATTCAACATCGGTGCAGGTAACCCCAGGCAAGCGCGCTAATAATTATCTAAATCGTGTAATTAGTGTGACCGCATAACGACCAAAATTAAAAAAAAATGCAGGCTGCAGTCTAATTCAGCTCGCGGCAAAGTCCTTTCACCATTCAAACAGCAGCAGATGTTCCAAAAATTGCTCGTTTTCAGCACACTAAGAGATGGCAAAGGAAAAAAACAGTAGAGCAAAGCCACAGTACATTCGGTGGAAGTTCCACTACGCATACTATGACACGAGGCCTTCATTCATCAGGCGCCTCACACCAGTATACGCGGCAGTCTGTGAGCTCTTCGCCTGCTGTGCAAGATGACAGCGCATGCATTGCTGCTGAGGCAAGTCACATACTAATGGATTACTCGGGTTTCACTTCGCCTTGCCCTGGAGCTCTAACGCTTTGATTTGTCGGCTATCGTTCTGGAACATCAGCCAGCTGCTCCCCGCATGCTTTGTGTTGGCTGTCCTCCGCTGAATGGAGAGTACTTCTGTGGCTGTGGCCTTGCGTCCAACCGCAGGTTACACTTGTTTGCCCATCACAAAGGGTGGCCAACTTCGCCGTAAATGGCGACCAGGGGGGTACACCCCCATCTCCGAAAAGGCTGTACTCGCCCGTTTTCGGAACTGCCTGTAATGACGGACTGGTAGATGACGCATCTAAAGCACCGTCCGATTCGTGGGAAGCGGACTGCAAAAGCGTACCAGAACCATCTGGATGGAATGTGCCCCACTGTAACGAAACAGGAGGATCAAAGCCCTGCGAATAGTCGGCAGTTCCGAGATTCTGGGGACCTGCAGGGGGAAGAGTTGCCGGCAACTTCGGTAAAACCGCCTCGGCAGCAGCCGGTCTTGGAGTCTGTATCCATGCCAATGGGACTCCAACCAGTGGCTGAGAAAACTGCGGCGGAGCTAATTGCACCTGGTAACCTTCATGATACACCAATGAATACGGTACGCGATGCATAACTGGCTCAATGCCTCGCGTAAACGTCTGGCCAGCTCGCCATTGTGGATATGTAGTTGGTAAGTGCCTGGTAAGAGCACCACCGGTCACTGCGGAATCTGTGGGTTGAAGGGAGATTTGCACTGCTGAAGCAAACTGTCTGTGCAGTGTGTCGTGATTAAACCACCCATACAGCTTCCTAGGCTGACTGCTCATCTGTAGAGGCGCTCCCTCCAACGCGCTACTGTTGCTACGACGGTCTGTAATACATGGCCGCCGCGGTGGTAGAAGGCCCCCAGCACTTCTTGCCGCGTCGATTATACGTTCTCGCAGGTCTTTTACTGGGAGAATATTACCTCTGGACACGTGCATATGATAGCGGCCAAGGAGCGCGAACACGCCTGTGCGTTTCTGACATCCTATAATGTGTGCGCGAAGTGAACCGTCTCTGGCAATGTGATCAGAGTGAATACGGAAAATTGCTTCGATAACATCGGCCTGCTGACCTACTATACTTTCGACCAGCTTTGTGGAATTATTCCGCATCAACTCTGACAGCCCTTCCAAAGCGCCTAAGCAAATCTTAACTGCCAGGCCGGCAGTTCCCAGTAAGCTTATCATCTTCTTTTTGTACTTTAAGGGGGATTTTTCCACTAGATGGCGGCGCGGCTGCTTGATCTCCTTACATAGACTCATTAGCTCGCGGATAGCAATGCGTCGACCCTCAAGATGCACCCCCTCGCCGCTCTGTTGAAGGCACTCAGAAGCTAAGCTGATAAGAGAGTCGCCCACGTTTTCCCTTTTTGGCTCAAGGTCCTCCCTTACAAGCGACAGGGCACCCAAATCGAGTGCTATCAGTCGCATTACATGATATGTCACGCGCACGCGTTGGGCACACGTTAACGCTGGCAACAGTGAACTGCACACCTTTGGGACCACTGCCATTTTTCGCAGAACATTAAGCACCCTTCTTTTAAAGCTTGGCGGTAGTTTCCGCTCCTCCCACAAGTGCAATTCACTGCCATCACACTCCTCCGGTAGCGATCCCAAGCCAGCCTCATCCAAGCCAGACTCATCCAAGCCAGCCTCATCAAGCATGTCGTCTAGAAATTCATCCGGTTCTTCTTCCTGCGCTATCCTGGGGGGTCCGTGTGACGTGTCCTGACGTGAAATAGAGCCATCTCGTAGCACCTGCTGTCCCGAAAATCCGGCGAACTTTCGCAATCTCCCGTTGTAGCCTCCATTATCGTCGTCTGGTGCATTCTTTGAGTGGCATAATCCACCAGCAGCTGCTGCAAGGGATCGGGTCAGATGGAACGACTTTCTTTCAACGCCTATCAAACGAGAACAACGCAGCAGGAAGTACACTGCTACCAATGTAGTGAGTCCTGCACCGAGACGCCAGGCCCAGGAGGAAAGAAAGAGCCTCCCGTTGTTGAAGCGCTGGGCAGGAAGAGTTCCATCAGCATAGCCTTGGCCCCTTTCCAGAGGCAGATGCACATTGGTTTTCTTGTCAGTGATAACAGAGGATGGCAGAACATCCCTGAGCTGTGCATGTGGCTGCGGGTCCATTAGGCCTACAGATGGCCCTCACGTCCGTGCAGCCGAAGCCGTAACCTTTTCAGATTTAGCTTCACTGCTTTTCACAAGTCGTGAACATTATACAAGAATACATCTTCGTTGATTACAATCACGCATTCGTCGTCGGCGCTAGGCGCACTCGCCGTCTGTACACTTGCAGAGAGACGGTGCACTTAAAACATCGACTTTCACAGTCTTCCAGTGTTGCCGCGCACTTAGACTCACGCTTCAGCCTCCACCAGCTTTAAAGAGTAGCCTCACGCATTTTCATAGGAAAACAGCGCAGAAAAGTGCAGAAGAATCGCTCGAGATTGTGTCCACTGCGCATCTTTGATGCACATGAGGCCCCCAAAGCGCAATAGCAGACGCACCACAAAACAGGTCCACACTCAGTTTATGGATTGGAAGCTGATCGCAGAGCCCAACAACATTTTTGCTATAGCTGAAAGATCTTTTCGGGGAGACCTATGAAGGGATGCCGATGTGCAGCCTTCAAGATCGGAGACTCGGGACACGAACGACACCGAGCTCTACCCCCCAGAGCTTGTCTACAGCATTCGTTACCTAGGGCAAGTTCCGAATTTTCGACGCAGAATTGACTTCTGCATCAATTAACTAGCATGAATACAGAGCACCACTGCACGTTCCTCGACAAAAGGTGGCGAAGTAACAGATTTGTTTGTGATCCGGACGATATGTATGCAAGGAACCTGGGGACATGCTATGAGCGCCCCTCAAAAGCAAACAGCCGGCTTGCTGGTTAACCCTCATTGATCGGCTAATTGTTTTCTAGTGGACAAACATCGTATCAGCAGGCACCGTTGTGAGTACTATGGTGGCAGTCTCCATGCAACTTTCCACCTCACTGAGCTTCACAAGGTAAACGTGGTATTACCAGAAGCTCCATGCGTCTCTTACACCAACATAGTGCATTAGCTCCTAGGTTTCATGACTACTGGTGAAGCATTCGACATTTTGGGCCGGTGACCCCTATTTGAAACAGACATGTGTCCTGCATTAGCAATGCGTTGCGTTTGTGGCATCGCGGTGAGTACAAGGCAGGTTGCAGGGCACTAAAGATGGATACAAGGTAAGGAGCCTGAGCATCCAGATAACTATTAAGCAAGTTAAGCTTATTACTTTGAGGCTACATGGATCTCTGGAGATGTCTATTCTCCCTTCTACTAGCTGCCTGTGTCTGGGTACACGACCCGGCAGCGAGAAATAGGAACACCTCAACACCTCAGTTTCTCCTACCTACGAATCCCCGTTACTCTACGTAAGTGTATTTGGTCTGTGTATGCGTGTATGTGTGTATGTATGTGTGTGTGAGCTTGTGTGTGTGTGCGTTTGTCCACCTAAGGCCTTAGTAAAAGACAGCGAAGTAGGATCGAGTTTGCATCTGTAATAGAACGGGTATGCGAGCGTGAAAGAGTGTTCCATGGACTGGCTTTTACATTGGGTGGCTGTTCTGGGAAAATCTAACAATCCTAGTGGGGCTATAGACAGTTTCAGAGCGTGTCTGCAGCTCGGCGTTTTGCTCTGAATCAGTCACACATACACATAGGCAGCAGCAAACGAATGGGTCAAGGCCCCACTCAAACCCTCCAAGAAGCGCACAGTCACCAAACAAACAGCATAATAGCTCTCCCAATAAAGCAACTGATCTACTCAATTTTAAGTCAACAGTCACCCAGTAGGCCTAGAAGGTGTTTCAGAGCAGAACAAACAATGATTCACTAAAACGAGAAGGCCCGTCTTCATTTCTGCCAAGCAAGAACACAGGAAACGTGGGCGCTGTGCTTCTGGGAGAGGGATTATCACCTGACTGCATCAATGTAAAAGTGGAGACTGCCACTAACATAGGAGAGCTCTACGCTCGATGAGGACTGAGTACATGAATGAAAACTTTGAAGTTCGCGCAGAACGTTCGGAAGCCTGCATTTAACAGTGGGACCACTTGGCCACTGGCTCGACCTTCGCAAATTAAAAAGAAATTCCTTGATTTGATGGCAGATAAGGCGGAATGAAGCTACTAGATGAGCCGGGCTTCCCAGAATACGATACCGGCAAACTGCCTAATCTAACAGGGAGCGGAGATCCTGTAGAGTAGGTAGCCGCGCTCTTTCTTGCTTGTTCATTGTGTACCATCAACAGCTATCGAACTTATTCGAAGTTGGCCTCTCTGAATGTATGCTCATTCTGATGGAGTGAATTTGCCAGCCGTCTAGATCCTGGCAAGAGGCAGGAGCTGCGATGAACACCGAGCATGGGGTCACGATACAGAACGTTGAAGAGCCGTAAGAGTTTGCAATCATGAACTAAGCTGATGGAATTTCTAAGTTTTTTGGGCGCGCTTGCGGTTGATTCGCAGCAGAGCAATGTCAAGGGGTAAAAGCTTACGACAGATCGGGGTTACGGCAGCGGGATTAGTACACGAACCTTGCGGAAATGTGCCACTGTGTCCGATATTTTGCCAATTTTGTCTGGCCCCAATCAGAAAAGAATAGCAAATCGAGAACATTACTGGAGCAAGTTAGGGTGAAGCCGAAGCGGGGTTTGAACGAGGAGGCCTAGGATTCAGGGGAGTTGCATCTGGCTGCTGTGTGGCTGCTGCGGGTATCTGCTGCTGCATTTCAGCTGTTGTGAATCTGCTTGTGTGTTTTCCGTAGCGGCGGTCGCTGATTCGCCAGCACAACCAATCCTGACAAATCACCTCCGTAAATTCTAATACTTTCGATGACATCAAACTTTCTCTGTCGGGTTAAGTCCTCTTGCATAGTGTGCTCTTTCTGCTATAGCCATTAGTACTGTCAGCATGTAGTGTGGGTGTTTGCTTAAGAGCACGCTCATATTAAACCGTTCTTATTTGAACTGTTTTTCGCATTCTAGAGTCCTCTGTTACACCGGGCCAACCGATACCGACGCTGATGCTGATGCAGGTGTTCTGTTTCTTTCCTCTAGTCTTAATTGATGTTCTTTTCATGAATTCATATGCTTTCTTCCTGTTTGTTACGTCTCTGCAACTTATTCGCATTATTCTTTATTTGAATTGCTATCCTCTTCCTCTGTATCTCCTCTTTCCTCTAACTGATGCCGTTTTTCTTTTATAGTCCATTTGCATCTGCTTGTTCTTTCTGTCAATTCCGACTGATATCTGCGTGCTAAATACTTCAAATCACAAAATTATACGTGCCTCCTTTTAGCCACCTCTCTATAAACTTACTCACTTAGCCAATAATTGCTTTCCTTTTTACACATTTTTGAGTGTTGACGTATTTAATTATGCTATTCTCATTTCACTATCTCACTTTTGCCTTTCCACATGGTATTTATCTTTACCTAGCGTACCTGCACATATTTTGATTTTTAATTTCTTAGATTTTTCTGGACAACGGCCGTTACGTAGAACCTGTGTAGTCAGCTCAGCCCAGCATGGCTCTTACGTGCCCTTCCTTTTTTACTACAGAGGACCATACCTACCGCCAGTCACTGGAGACATCGCTAAGCGTTAAAAACGTATGATCAGCATCGATGTATATTTAGGTTTCTGTTGACACGCCTGTCTGCCCCCGTGATGTTTCTCACTCGCTGCTTGGGCGTGAGGCGAAACATCTGGGATGCAGCAGCAGTGCTTCTTGCCACAGGCCAGCATTGGGCGTAACTGCAGAACATGTTGGACCTTAACTCCCAAGGACTACGCCCCTTTGCAAATGCATTACTTGTATTTGTTACGTCACTGCGGGCTGCGAAGCCTGTTGGATAGAAGCGAGCATGCCCTGCCCAACCGTTCGCAATTCCTCTTAGACGCTCTTACCACCTGCGATTCTATAACTGGCACTTTTTCTACCAACACAGGCCACGCTTTTATTAGTCGCGGTACTGATTCCAAGGAAAATTCCATCACTTTCAGTTTTGGGTTTGATTGCAGCTTTGCGCTCGTTCCACACTGAATACGCTATAGTCTCTAACAACAAACCCCAGAGTCATGGCCATGCTGAGCTGCCGCCCTAGCTGCGGAGCAGCTGCTCTGCCGCTGCGGAAGGTCGAGGAAGCGTCAGTAGAAGTTCGTATTGCTTGCTGTCGAACTTTCTTACGACGCGATGAGTCAGTACACCACCTCCACGGAATCGTGATGATGCTGTGAGTGCTCAGAACCTGTTTATGGTTGCTGTAGTTATAGCTTATTTGGTACTGTTTCCTACACATCCAATGAGTGAGTTCTACAGTGTGATTGAAAGCAAGGTTATTTATTACATGCTTAGTGGCACCGAGCAGGAATAAGCCGATGTCACATGCCGCAGTGAGGTGAACGGTTTTAGGCAAAAGGCTTGTACCAGGAACAATAACTTACCGCCTACCATTTGTTCCACAAATGGTGGGCGGCAAGTTATTGCTTCCTTTGTTCGACCATGGAGCTCAGTGGAAGAGCCAACATCAAATTGCGTTTGACCTCGTTCCTCTCACGATGCTTTTCATGTATCTTCACCTCGCGAAACCAGAAAAGACTCACACTTACCCCCAAAAAAGGCCACCATTATTTTAGCTCATGTTCCGTGGCGCCTTGTCAAGCCTAGTGGCTAATACGAAGTGGATACTGTGTTGCAGCGGGGAGCTGCAGACAAACTCCAATATCTCTTGAAAGAGCTAGAACAGACGGGGGCATTACTAAGGAACCTGCCTTCCAGTCCATCATTTGTCCTGCATTATTGCGAGCTTTGAAGCAATGCCAGAGCGCAGTACAACGGCAACTAACAGCTTTACAAGCCGCCAGCGCTGCCGCCACGTTCTAGTCCACTCTCCCCGCCAAGCTCCTCCTATTTTCATCCTGCTCCGTAGCCTCTTCGCTTACCCTGCACACCCAACCCTTTGTGTCCCTTGTCCATTGATGTATATTAAAAGGAAATCCGTATTCTCCTTTGAGTTCCCCCCTTTTACTCCGCACAGCTACTGCCCAGTGAGAAACGAGAGGGTAATCGTGGATCGGAGGGGAGGATTGCATGCATGAACTCGAACGGAGCCACCGCACGCAAAGCAACGGTGCATACGCACAACGGACTACAGGAAAGTGCAGATATATGCACATGCAGCAACAGACTTATGTTCACAGGAGAAACATTTAAAGTGAATGACAACTGGAGGTGAAGTTCTCTAAGTAGAACGGGGTGGAATAAAAGAAATCGAGGGCACAAAAAACATAATGGGCAAACAAACAAATCAATGCAAAATCGAAGGAGAAGACGAAACGTTGAAGATAGGAGTAAGCAGGTGCAACGCCAATAGTAGCTGTAGGCGTTTGTGCACATGTGTGGCATTTCCTTCAGTCACCTGTGCCTGTGCATAAGTAGTTTTTTTTTTACGTGTCTTTCTGTGCTCGTTCGTCTGCAGATTTACGTATTCTGCATTAGCACGCGAGTAAGCATGTAGATCTATTGTCACCCTCTTCTCGCATTGCTTGGCGGTAGCCGGGCGGGTGGCAGAGCCAGCTAAGCAGGAGGGCTTGGAAAACAAAACTAAAGATTTAGTTAATTGATTAAGAAGGGATAAGACCGTCCAAGCCTTCCCGCTTAGCCGGCTCCGCCACCATCCTGCGTGGCGGAGCTCGCCAAGCAGGAAGGCTTGGACAACGAAACTAAAGTTTAAGTAAATTAATTAAAGAGAGACAAAACACATCAATTTTATCACAGAGGGGACAACAACACAAAACAGAACACGAGGACAGCATATTGCAACCAAGAGTAGTGGCAAGCACGAAAGAACCAGGCCTTGCGTCAACGCAATTGAATTTGTTTCTGCTTATCTACACTTTGTTTGCTGTTGATAAATGGTGCTCCATTAATCCATTAACGCCCGACTCACTCGCTAGTGCACTGTTCCTTGTTCACGCCCTGACTTTATATTCTATAGAATTTTAGATCCGATATGAGAAGAAAAATGGCTCTATGTTAGAAACTTACATGCATGAAGGGCAGCACCTCAAAGCCTACAAAATACATCCATGTATAACCTCTTTTTTATCATAGACATTATGTGTGGAATGTAGCAACGCCATGAAGGCAGATTTTTATGTTACCTCAGCAAGAAGAGCAGCAGGCTTAGTTTGATTGTCAGATACATAACCAGCAAGTGGTATTGTGCCAACTTCACGAGCTAATGCTGCTTAATGCTCGGACCGCTGCAAGGTTCTGAACTTTGTTGGCAAGGCCGATGTCCCTAGGTCTACAAACCACTTTGAATACCAGGTTGAACGGAAAGGACAACTTGTTTCAGCTTCCTTTCTTTTCACAAAAGTATAACAGGATTTCCTGTCTTAATATTCAGCAAGTTTGGTTCCTAGCTCCTGCGCACAAGCTCCCCCAAACCATCAGTTTTATGCCGCGGTACAACACGATGAAACAGCGCGGTTATGTCTGGCTAAAATCAACTCATTAATTTCGTGAAAAAGGACGTCAACACCCTCCTCATTTATTTTCTCAGGGGAGCTCTCAGAGAAGTTCCCCTATTTGCATCCTCAAACACAACAACTGAAAGTTCACCGAAATTCAAATGCCTCAATTCCGTAATTTTGGCATGACACTTTTCCAACGGCTTTAACTGATGGCTTTAGGTTAAATATTCATTGTCGAAGGTCTAGCGTAAAAACGCTATTAAGCACCAGCAGTACCTTCTGTTTGTCTTGAACCTTCGTGGTTCAGTAAGCCTTGAAGGATTCCAACTCATGGTTTCGTCATATTTTCCTGCTTCGAGCTAACGGTGGATTGCTGGTTACGTGGCAGGGTCATAAACTGAACACTAGTTCTCACCAACGAAACAGGGGAATGTATGTTGGATCACGACCCCAGTGGGACTTCCCGCCTCAGACAAAAAAGCATTCGGAATAAATATAATTGAGATAAAGTTCGCTAATCAAATTGAAGGTAAATCAACAAATCTCGGAAGTGTTGCAATGGTGCAGCGCGTGGCGGTCAATTGCTGTTGTCGCTCAGTGCACTGCGACGGGAAAGAAGCAGCTGCGCGAAGTCCCCATTCCCACAGCAAGCCTCCTTTTTTTTAAAATTTTCGTTGGGAAAAACACAAAATCGGGTTATTATTCTCTTCATTCGGGCCGAGGCGTTCTTAGCGTGTGCGGATAGGCCTTGAAGGCTGATCGGGTCACCGGCGAAGATCTTCGGGTGAAGCTCACACCACAACCTTCCGCTAGAGTCTTGCGTGCCGAAGCCCAGGAGATTAGCATATAAAGTTTGCGCTGTACGTTCCAGGGTTTAGGGTAGAAAGAAGGCTGAAGTTCTGATGGATCAGCCAGGAAGCTCGCCGGTGCCCCTCGGGCCCCTCAACTCCAAACGCTGTCATGAAGTGAACACATACCCAGGACTTCAACAGCAGCAGCAAGTAGCAGCCGTAGCAGAAGCAGCAGCAGCGGCAGCATTAGTCGGTGCTGCCGCGGGAATGGCAGCTGCTGCTGCGCCAGAGGAAGACCCCGCTTCTCCTGTTACAGCAACAGTTCAGTCCTCATCAGCAGCACCAGATGCAGAAGAGGAACCAGCACCAGCAGATGCAGTAAACCGAAGCTTCGAAGCTGTGAGAGGAGGCAGAAGGAGGTCAACATTAACTCTCGCTGAACTTCCGAAGCGTGTGCTTGATTGTCAGGTGCGCATAATGCCTGACAATAAACAACAAAACCCGAACCCACAGACACGTATATAGACAGATAATGTATCTAAATGGGTCTCTGCTCTTTTCCTCGCGATGTCGTCAGGTGCAGCGAGCATTTATATGCATATAGGTGCACACACATAGTTACATATTTGTCTACACGTTCAGAGCATCGCTGTTATGTACATATAGGTAGTTCTAGCCGCACCAATCGACCTCCCCGTTTTCATTTTTCAGAGCTCAGGATTTGCAGCTTGCATGTGCTCAGTACGCGGTCAGGGGGCCCACGGTGGAGCTGGCTCGTCAGCTGTCTCTGCGTCTGGCAGAGGGTCACAACGACTTGCCTTTCAAGCGTCTAATCTACGTTAACATCGGAGACCCCCAGGCACTAGGGCAGCCACCCATATCCTTTTTCAGACAAGTAAGCAATAGATTGGGAGTGCGCCCAAAAGTTGTTAGCAAACCTGGTAGCAGAGCTACTGAAGTCCGAATTACGAAGCTTTTCAGTGCTGGCTAGCAAAACAAGCGAGACAAGCGTACGACTGTGACCAGAATGAGTCCACCAAATTTGAGGGTCCGAGCATTCGCACCGCGTTTCAGGTGCTTGCCTGCCTGATGTATCCCCCTTTAATGGGCTTATCGTTGCACTCCAACGCCTTCTGCCGAACTGCATCTATGGAAGAAACATCTCCGCAAGAACCGGTATCTTCGGAGTTCTCTGAAACTACGCATGAGAGCCCCACCTGCTGTACCTTTCATTCGAATCCCCCTGCCCGTCCCTCTGAGAATCATTCGAATCCTCCTGCCAGTCCCTCTGGGAATCGTGTTGGCGCCTGTGGCGGAGGTTCCCTTGGAAACCGCCCTGATTGTCATTCTCAAAACGCTGAGGAGCGTGGGGCTTTAGATTTTTGCCCGTCCGCCTTCCGTGTGCCATTTCCTGAAGATGTGACGAAGAAGGCAAGGGAATATTTGGCTTCTGTGGGGTCCGTTGGGGCCTATTCGCATTCCCAAGGCGTAAGGGAGCTTCGTGAGATAATTGCTACCTGGTTCGGAGAGAGGGATGGAGTGCCTGCCAGCCCAGATGATCTGTTTCTGACAGACGGTGAGACGTACCACTGTCGCTTCGTGTTTGTCGTTTCCTTCAACATATGCCTTGCTGTTTCCTTTTGTCATTCCGCGTGACCTGCCTTCCTCGTCTGCCTGTCTATATATGTGCCCTAGTCTCTGTATGTCTGTACCTTTCTGCCCTCCCCCATGCTCTGCGCTGTTTGATCGATATGTCTGAATATGTCTACTTACTTAGCCCGCGCTCTAGTTCACTTCACTATTTCCCGCCTTCGCTTTGCGCCTCTTTCTTCACTGTGTTCTTTGTGTATTTCTGCTTGAATTTAGTTGGGCTATTCTAGTTTCCTATTGTGAATGTGGCGGTGTGTCCATATGTTTCCCAGTCTCCATCTGTGGCTGCTTGAGCTCGTGCATGTTTTGTTTTTGTCTGCTTTCTCCTCCTGTCTTTTGCCTCTGTGAAATTGCCTATCTTTTTTTGTCAGTTTTTATGTTGTTCAATTTTACTTGTCTACCCATGCTATACCCCTCTCATTCTTCACGCTTTGTGTCTAACTTCCTTCGCTCTTTTGCTGCCACTTATATAACGTGTACTAGTATAAATATAGTTTGTGTTTTCTGTGTTTATCAATAGGAGCCTCTGCGGCAGTCGCTCGCATTATAGAAGTTCTATATAGGGGTCCGGAAGACGGCCTCTTGATTCCCATCCCACAGTACCCACTCTACGCGGGACTTCTTACCAGAATCGGCGCCACTACTGTCGGCTACTATCTCGACGTAAGTCTTTGCAAAACAAACAGCACACACACACACACATTCACAACGCATGTGAGAAACAGCTGTACAAGCACGCAAATGGAGCAAACGAACACCTACGACAAATACACACATATTAGGAGCCGACATTACACGTTTCCAGCCTTCATATCATCTAATCAACACGTAGAACAACAGGACAGAAAGCTTGCGAAGAAACAAATTTACAGTCAGCATTCAGTGCGGGGGAGGCCGCTTCTTTTTCCCGCTTCGATTTTGTTATCTTTGCTTTAATGAGCTTGCATTGGAGCCGGTCTACTTTGTTTTGTTTGCTTCTAACGCCACTTTCGCGAAGTTTCGATTCTGTCTTGTTTCCTTTGCCTCGTTGAGTCGCTCTCTGAATGCACCTGTGTCCTACCGCTTTCTTGTACCTACCTATTTCGGTGCTACTGGTGTATTTTTGCCGGCGTGTACACCTTGTTTCTGCGTTCGGCTGGTTTCTACAGTCGACAGGCGACAAACGGTGAAAACCAGCTGCGCTGATCAGGCAAACGCAGAGGCACAGTATATTAATACGTTTATGTTCATATCCGTTTGCGTGTTAGCTTGCATTTTTGATTGGTTGCCTGACGAAATTACAGAGACTGACAAACAGACGCGGACACGCTCAACGCACGGAGAATAAGACAACGATAGGCATTGTTGTCTCACTTTTACGCTTTCCCAATGGAAATTTGTTCTTACCTCTCTCTGTGCTTGTTTGATTATGCCTTATGTGTTTGTCTTAGCCACTTTATAGTTGTAGTCTGTCCCGTTTTTTGCATTGTTTTGCGTTCATTTACATTCGATTGTCTCTCTGCCCAAGGTCGTTTATCCGAATCGTCCGTATCCGTATTTCTTGCTCTCAACCTGTGATATATGTACGCCATCACCTGCTCAGTTCTGCCCGAATGTGTTTGTGTGTCCTTACGACCGTTTGTTTCTCCGCCGCTATGCTTTCGTAGGAAGAAAGGGGCTGGGCCTTAGATGTGGGAGAAGTAGAAAGTGCCTTGAAAACGGCTCGACAGAAAGGAATAAACGTCAGAGGCATTGTAATTATCAACCCCGGAAACCCAACAGGGCAGCTCATTAAAGAGCAGCAACTCAAAGAGGTACGTATCCTCCGGCACACTTCAACAACTCAATGGTCATCGCAGCGCAGAAAGCCATATGCAGGCTGCTTAAGCACTGGAGCAACCAGCCAATAGATATTCCAACATACACTCATGAGGGCAGAAAAGAGAACCTGTTTACTACTGGACAAGGCTCGAGCTTCAAGAGTGTCCGGTTCAAGGCATAGGACTTGGGGGTAACAGGCCTAGTTGCTAGATTTTAGGGGTAGGGACTGATGGTTTGAGGTAACAGTTACCTCTTCGGGGGACCCAATCTGCACATGAAAGAAGTTTTTGTGAGCATATATATTTGAGGGTATGAAACGCTGAACACCAAACTGTACTGAGCACATGCATAAAAAGCGAGAACGTGGCTCTGTACCTGCTGGCACTGAGATGTACGTGCAGGTCGTGCAACTCTGTCACCGCGAGAGCCTCGTGCTGCTAGCAGATGAAGTCTACCAAGAAAACGTATATGGGGATAGTCCCTTTGTCTCGCTTAGGAAGGTGCAGCACTCCCAACGTCTACTTTTCCGGCTTTTATTCGGGCTGCTTTCGCTGTCACTTCTTGACTGTTTTAGTTAATCTAGCTGCATGCGGCATTACGGTGTTTATTGCTGATTTTTCCAGTGCTCTATGGTATTACTAGTGCGTCAGTAGCTGTAATTGCTGCGTTGGCGTTTGAAATTGCGGCTGTTTCAGTTCTTCATTATGTCTTGGTATTGCAGTCATTTCGCTCTCAGCAATGCAGCCATTCAGCAGAATTAATGATCTAAATGACCACTTAATTTTGATGGGAGGCTTGTCAGTTTTACTATTCGCTTACGTACTCATATGCGTATTGGTCCTTTCGTCTGTTTATCTACCTGTGCCTTTTGCACTTGCTGCGTTCGGGTCTTTTCAGATTGTGATGCAACAGCAAGTGGACGTGCCTTTGTTTTCGCTGCACAGCAGCAGCAAGGGCTTGGTGGGAGAGTGCGGCTTCCGCGGGGGTTGCGTGCTGATAGAAAACGTCGAGGACGCCGTGAAGCAGCAGCTCTATAAGCTGTCATCAATGTCTTTGTGTTCAAACTTGTTTGGCCAGCTAATGATGACAAATCTGTGCAATCCGCCGAGGCCAGGAGATCCATCTTATCCCTCTTTTATCAAAGAGAAAGAATCAATATACAGAACCACTAGAAGAAAAGCAGACACGGTGTACAGGCACCTCAACGCTGTCCCAGGCATATCATGCCAGCGAATCGAAGGCAGTGTCTTTGGATTTCCCAGAATCGAATTGCCCAAGAGTGAGGACCAAATGCCTAGTCATTGTAGCAAGGGGTTAACAGTTCAGGGTTCGAGCACCAAGATTTAGAAACTTTGTGTGGACGCATCTGCACCTCTTATTGCCCAGTGAAAAGCCGCAAAGCTACTGCCTGCGGCTCTGTGTACACATTTTTGGATGGAAAGATACGCATTGATCCACTTACGTGCATGTTTGCCAATGTATACGCTAAATTGAAAACGTAAGCATCCACAGTTTGTTGGAATGCACAAGAGGCAGGTATACATACGCACCTAAACAAACATGCGTTTAAAAGGGTTTTAATGCTTAATATGCATGCCTCGGTGTATTTACGTCGATATATGTAAGTACATTCCATCTTTGTAACGCACGTGTATGCACACGAACATACGTCTGTTCATAAGTGTATCTTTGCTATTTGGGTAAAAATTTAAGGGGGAACGTGTACATATGCTTGGGAGAATAGGAATGTACGTACTGTAAGTGCACACATGTACAGGTGCAGTAACTGCATGCATCTACGTGCATACATACATGCGCAGAAATACGCACAATATCAAGTAGCTGATCGTTTGTACTCGTCATTATACCTACACGGACACGTGCATGCGCTGCCGAATTGCATGCGCATGAACTGATAATGAGGTTCCTACGCAGTTTGTGCTTCGATAATCGCCAAAATGTTTATGGACATGTGTATGGATATGTGCCTCACAAGCACGTGTACATGCGCATGCCGTATGTTCGCCATCTCATGGCACGAAGAGCATCCAGCCAGTTATTGCGCATCTTTCTTTTGTGCATCAGGGGCACAGGATGCTGCCGCTGCAGGGATGTTGGCGCCAGATTTATTCTTCTGCATGGAGTTGTTAAAGGCAACGGGTATTGTGGGCGTGGCGGGAAGCGGTTTCGGCCAGCGTGAGGGGACTTTTCATGTTCGCATTTGTATTCTGCCGGATGAGGCCTTACTTACGGAAATGATACAGAAGTTCAAAACATTCTACATGAAATTCATCGAAAGGTACAAGGACTGATGCGGTGGAAGACAGATGCACATACACATGCATTGTATAAGCTGCTACATCGCCATTAGCAGGAACAGCGCCATAAGCTGCTACTGCTGCCGAATCTAGCTCAATGTTCTTAGCAACTCTAATGACTGCAGGATGCCCAGAAGACTAGCTGTCTTGCCCTTGCAAACTCGATTAACCTGACTTTGGTCTGAGGTGAGGGCTATGTGGCGATCACGTTTTCGGAAGAGCATAGGTCTTACGCAGCCTAAACCGTAGACTATGCTCCCCACAACCATCTATTTCTACGCGTTATTAGTCAGGTGCGCATAAGTGTGAGGGTGTCCCCTCGCTGTGGGCGGCTGGTGCCTGCAGCTAGATGCAGTTAGCGTGTTCATGTGTAGCTAGCCGTCACTATGTGGTGGTTTTCTTTGGAGATGCAGTTGAAGAGCTAAGCTTTTTGACGACACCCACAACAAAGCAGTGGGTACCGTCGATACCTTTACAATTGCGAATTAACAACATTAGTTTATATACTGCAGAAGGACAGGAAAATTTAAGGTTGCCGGTACGCAGGTGTCTGTAGGCGCGTGTACTGACGCTCGCCAACATCGGGAACCCAATATCTTCACGCGCGGAAACACGCCAACGATCGTACATACACAAAATTGTATAAATCTCTGCTGCTCTGATATCCAAAAAACAACGACTGCTTTTCGTCACTTTGCTTCTTCTCCTTCTACTTCTGATCGTGCGCAAACAACCACTTTGCTGAAGCAGAACCCAAGGAAGCCTTTCACGTCCACATGCAGTGTGAAGGGACCATTCGCGTCGTGCTTCTGAGTGTGTGCACTTGAATGCGGATACATTGGTGCCGATTTATTAGTGCAGAATAGCGGTTAAACGCTCGTGCCGCAAGGAGGAGGAGATGAAGCTTACGTATACGTCTGGTCATCGTTGCCAAGGCTACTCGCTACAAGCTGCAGCCGACCACCCGGGCCCCCTATAGGGTCTCCGCAGTCAACGCGCTCGAGCACTAAACTAAAAGCCACGAGACGCAGAAAAGACAAACAGGTTCTTAAGTTCTTCGCTGATTATAAAATACACTGACGTTAGCAGAGCCGGCAGCAGACTAACCTTCTCGTGTGTGGCGACCGTCGAGCTGCCAGCACCAAATCCTATTCGCTGATCCCGTAGCCCTCATCGACAATAACCTAAAGTGCAAATCCTTGAGCCTCAGGAGTAAACCTTAAACTGTGGACCTTTGGCCTTCTGTTTTGGCATCTCCGTCCCTCTTTACCCCGGCTCTCCGGGGCCCTTGGGTGTAGACCTTACAGGACGTGGGACCGGAACACCGAGCCCCAACCCAAAAAACCTTGACTATCAGGTCTTCTAAACCCCTACTAATTGACAATGCACGTCCTAGGTAGGCGTCTCGCCTACTCCTCCTTGGCTGTGGGGGCATCTGCTGCAATCGCCAACACCTTCTTCTGCAGGCAGCACAAGAGAGGCAGCGTCCCTGTGGGTACTAGGTACTACGTAGGCCAAACAGAGGCGTTGGAAGCGGCTGCTCAGGAGATCCCGCAAAAGGCCCACCGAAGAGACTGCTTCCCCCCAACATACCTCCCACCCTCTAGGGAAGAGATGATCGCCAAGATGAAAAAGGAAAAGTTCGACGTTTTGGTCATTGGGGGAGGCGCATCAGGTGATTTGTTGTCGCCGCTATCGCCGCTGCTTCTGTCGCTGCTGCTTCCGCTAACGTGGATGCCTGTGCTGCTGTGGTGGGGTGCTTCTGGGGAAGTGTCGTGCTCCTTCCTGCTCCTGAAGCCCCCTTTCGGCTGCATCCGTTGTACTTATGCTCGTGCTATGCATCTGATGAGAGTCGTGAAGCGAATGACGCACGGCACACAAATGCACAAACGCACTAAAACGCGCTCTAATAAAAAACTGTACACATACACCTGTGTACCTCTGCACACACACATGAACATAGCTGCATTCAGCTCTGTCTGTAGATGCGTGTACAATAGTGTGATGCTACCTGCAACGAGCTGACTTCTCTTAATCAACTGAGTAAACATACTCCCACCTACCCTCGGTGCATTAATCCCCGAGTTGTCATTCATATTTAAACTGAAAAGTCAAGCATTTAGGTATTTAACTTTCCACATTTTGGTCAGGAAAAGACGGAAACATATTTGCACATGCAGGCTGAAGTGGGCTTTATGCGTGTGTGCTTTCGTGGGTTGTTTGCACAGGCGTAGGTGTACTGTTTGACGCGAGCAGTCGCGGGCTGAAAAGCTGTTTGGTGGAATCTAATGATTTTGCTTCGGGGACTTCAAGCAAAAGCACTAAGCTTGTCCATGGAGGCATTCGCTACTTGCAGAAGGCTTGCGAGACATTTGACTGGGGACAGTGAGACGCCTTGTGAAACGTGGATCGAAGATAGACACTTTTGCTTCTGCATTCGCTTTTCTATGTTGATCTTTTTGACTTCATGTGTACTGCAATTTTTGCCTTTGTGTTGATGTCTTCTTAGGTTATCTTTGGTGTGCGAGGCTCTAGAGGAGCGGGCTCATCTACTACGCGCAGCTCCCCACATCGCCGAACCGCTAGCAATTTTGATGCCTATTTACAAAATGTGGCAAATTCCCTACTATTGGTTTGGAGTTAAAGCATACGGATTCTTGGCAAACCTTGTCTGCTGCGGCGACACGCGTAACTCGTTTAAAGATTAGCTTTAAATATTAATTGCCTCAGAATTCTAGCTGTAGTACAGTGCTCGTTTATCTTTGTCTTGTTTCTTGTGTGCACCTCTGTGTCTGCATGTGCATCTGGAAAAATCTGTGCGTACAGTGCTACTCTCTGTCATGTGTTGGTGTACTTCGTCTCTGTGTACTTGCGTTTGTATGCACACCTGCCTGTATCTGTGCGTTTTAAACTAACAGAAATCCCGCCCACGTCATACCTGTCTGCTCGCACCTCACGATTCACTTTACCACTGCTGCCGCGTGAGGGACTGAAGGGCTCTCTCCTATACTTCGATGGCCAGATGAACGATAGTCGCATGTGTCTCTCTCTCGCCCTCTCCCCCACTGTCCCCGGATTTGTGGAGGGTATGCAGCCAGCAGCAGCAGCCAACCATGTGGCAGCAAAAGAATTTATCAAAAACGAAAATGGACAGATTGTAAGATGTCACCGACGTGTTGAGCTTCTAAGGAAAATTGTGTTGGTTGCGGACTCTCAAAATGTAGCTACACTATATAACAAAGGTTGACCTGCGCATGCTGGGTAAGAATTCTACACTCTAAGGGCCGCAAAACTGTAAGCCTGCATGATTGTTGCGGTGTGTTTGTAGATCGCGGTGAAAGTGCAAGACCGTGAAACGGACGAAGAGTTCACGATCCACTGCAAGGTCGTCGTGAACTGCACAGGTGATATTTCGTTTACCTTATCCCCAACCTCTAACTGCTGCTTCGCCCCCCTGCTTCCCATGAATTCGCATAGCTAGCATAGTGCACTTAGAAAATGCCGAGACAAACGTAGGCGCTGGTCTGCTGTACATGGGTCCTGTTGCAGGGCCACTGACGGATAGTGTGCGCAAGATGGACCATGAAGATGCAGCCTCTCTCGTCATTCCTGCAGCAGGTGTGCCCTAAAGCTTACACATTTACGTAAAACCATAGATATTGTTTATTTCCATTTGCAGACAGTCCCTGGCTTATCAAGCGCTTTTTTTTTCATGTTGTGCCGCTGGGGCTAATTCCTCGTTTGCGTTTACGTTTGTGTCCATCCGTTACGCTGTCACGACTTACGTGCAGGGACGCACATCGTGTTGCCTCACTGGTACACTCACAAGACACCTTTTGGACTGCTGTTACCACAGACCAGCGACGGTCGTGTGTTGTTTCTTCTCCCTTGGGAGGGGCGCACTGTCGCGGGTACCACCGATGCGCCTGCCAATAAAGCAGCTGAACCCAGACCTGGAGTGAGTGAGGTCGACTTCCTGGTCAACGAACTTTCCGCCTACCTGAGGATGGACCCCCAACAAATGAGGTACACAAAGTGCACTCGAGCTTAGAATCAGGGACAAAAGCTCCGGGACCTCTGATTTTGCTAATTATCTATGCCCTGCTTCGCATCCTTGCTGTTTTGGTCGAGTATGCCTATGTATATGTGTTTTCTGTGCCTGTTTATGCTAGTTTGGTGCTGTTGCAACTCATTAGCTTTGTTAAGCTGTTCGTATGTCAAGCTGCTCATTTTCATATCCGTCTCTTTCCTCTCAGGGGCGACATTCAATCCGTGTGGGCAGGCCACCGGCCACTTATCTCCCAGACATCTGAAGCAAAAGACACGGCTGGAGTTGTTCGCTCTCACACGGTTCTTGTTGATCACGAGTCGGGCCTCATAAGCTTGATGGGTGGGAAGTGGACCACGTATAGGCGCATGGCGCAGGTGAGGACACTGTAGGGAGCTACGCAAGACAGATCCAGAAATAACAAAGTAATGGGCACCTGTTTATTAAGGTCCTTGCAAGACAAAGTCTAAGTTTCACGATCTAGATTTTAACACACGGAAGGAGACTCAGGAACAACAGGAGCACAGCTACAAAAGCCAGTTAGAATGGAGCAGATACTTTAAGCAGGACAAGCATGGGGGAGACAGATACCCCCAAAAAGGGACGGCCTGCACAGTCAAAGCGTAGAAAAAGATCAAAAAAGCTGAGCAGCCAAAATGACACATTAGAAGGCTGAGACCTGAAAATATGGCGACCAAGAACGCAACTTTCAGACGTGCCACTGACTAATCTACGGCTTGCGTTTTGCTTATTGTCGGTGTTGGGGAATGTCTACACAGGACGCGGTAGACACCCTTCTGGAAGTACACAAAGACAAGGTGGCAGCTTCAATGCCGTGTCGCACAAAAGGAATGAAAGTTCAAGGGGCAGTTGATCCCCTGGGCACACTCCAGCCAGAAGTGAGTAATATGAGTATCTCGAGTAGTGTTCTACCTTTGAATGTCAG